TTATATTTTTTGTATATTTGTATGCTTTCACTGAAGTGCCAGAATCAATCCATGCTTCTAAGGCAGTTTCAGGGTTAGTTTGTGGAAAGCGTTCTTCTGATGATGTGGGCACTTCCGAGATGTACTATCTTCTGGATTTCTTGGACAGTTGGGTTTCCAGGAATCTGTTTTGTTCTCTTTTCCAGTCCCTTCTTGATGAGGCCAAAGCACCCACTACGACGGGTATTGTTGTTGTCTTCATCCCCCACATTCTTGTGACTTCTATTTCCAGGTCCTTGTACTTTGATAGCTTTTCAAGCTCCTTGGTGGTGACATTTTTTTTAGATAGGATGGTCATATCAATCATGAGGCAGGTCTTCTCTTCTTTGTTTTTGATGACTGTGTCTGGTCTGTTGGCCATGATTTCTCTGTGTGTGTTGATCGGCATGTCCCACAACACTGTGATGTAGTTGTTTTCAGTCACTGTTGGTGGTTGGTGTTCATACCACTTATCTGCAGCTGGTAGATGGAGATGTTTGCAGATTATTATTATTTTTATTATTATTATTATTATACTCTGACAGTTTACACATTTTTCATCCCCTTCCCAGAATTTTATTTTAGGCTGATTTAGTCTAAAAACAGTGCAGGAATTCCCACATGCTCCGTTCAAATCCAGTTCTCATCACACTATTCTATTGGACTCGGGAATCAGAGGGACAGTAGTTTTTTTTGTTCCAGCAAGGTCACCTCAGACTTTTATTTTGTAGTAGTACTAGTACTAGTATGACACATAAGTATTACTTTACATTTTTGTACTATAATACCTATAAGGGACATTTAATGCTGACATGAGCAGAACAGTTAACATGCAAACTGTTTGTAATTAATATTCTGTTTATTTTTAGGATCCAGTTTTTATTCTCAGACTCTATATTGTAGTGTTTCAAAAGTTAGTTGGGAAAAATTTTCATGCCTAAAAATAAAACAATTAGGACAGAAATCTGAACTGAAGTTGTCATAAATCATGCAAGAAAGAACTAGAAATCTTCTACCGCAGCCCAGATGGGACAAACTTCTTCTAATGGACACTTAAATTAAAGATAGGTGAGCTAGCAGATCATATGAATATTTAAATGGATATAAATGACACACGAGACCTGCCAGAGGTAACAAATTATTAACGAGTCACGCCGTGATGATGAGGGATTAAATGGTATAGAAATTAAAATTAACATTAGGTTGAATTTAAAAAGTCACAACAGATAATTTAATACAATTTACAGAAAATGCACAGAAATATAACGAACAGATGCACACAGTTAGGAATCTAGACATCTATGGAGTGCCAAATGTACCAAAAACATAAACACACCTTTTTTTTCCACATTTAGCTTAAAATATTTTTACGTTTAGAATCCAATCAAAGTAAATTTAAATCTGAATACTTTAGACACCTTAAATATTTCCCAAACTCCAGCAATGTTGTTCTGTTGGTGCGGCATGGGCATGCAGTTGTACTGAAGATGCAGGTAGTGGCTAGCTTAAGGGGGAGGAGCCAACCTGGGCTCCAGCCTGAGGAGGAGGGGCTATGTGAGGATCTCCCACATGTTACCGAGGAACCGTGTAAACATTACTTCTGTTTGTTTCCCTCATCGTGAGAAAGTTTAATCGTGTGATCAAACAACTCAGAACAAGCGCTGAAAAAACCAACAGTGGAAAATTAAAGGAGATTACGGACCGGCACGTCTTCCAGTGAGGAAGCTGAGTCTGGGACTCGGGGTTGGACTCTCCAGTCTCTGGGGACCAAGTCAAAAAACTCCTCAGTGGGAAGGTCCCCGGGGGTGGACGAGATCCGCCCGGAGTTCCTTAAGGCTCTGGATGTTGTAGAGCTGTGCTGGCTGACGCGGCTCTCCAATATTGCGTGGACATCAAGGGCAGTCCCACTGGACTGGCAGACTGGAGTAGTAAGGTCTGTTGAGGGGTTCTGGAGAGGAGGGTCCGGCGGATTGTCAAACCTCAAATTCAGGAGGAGCAATGTGGTTTTGGTCCTGGCCGTGGGACACCGGACCAGCTCTGTACCTTCAGGGGGTCCAGGAGGGTGCGTGGGAGTTCGCCCAACCAATCCACGGGTGTTTTGTGGATTTGGAGAAGGTGTTCGACCACATCCCTAGGTGGGCCCTGTGGGGGGTACTCCTGACATGGACATAGTTTTGGGAAAGAACAGGGGGACATGTCCCCCTCACTTTTTCCAAAGTCAGTTTTTGTCCCCTTCACTTTAAACCGCCCAAAAACAATGTTACCTTATCGTAGACACCGGTTGAGCTCTAGGTCCAAGTGGAAAACAACCACTTGTGTTGCAGCCTGTTTCCCACTAGAACTGTCCATGAGCTCATCTATTGGCTCTGCTGATGCTTGCTGATGTGTGATTGGCCGTTCCTGCTGTCACTCCACGTTGTAAACAGGACGTGCTCCCTTTTTGTCCCAGTTTATCGCAGCTGCCAGGGGGGTAATCCAGAAAGCGAGTTTGAGGCCCTGTCCACACGTAGCCGGGGATCTGCCAAAACGTAGATACTTGTCTACGTTTTGGCCTGTCATCCACACGAAAACGGAGTTTTTTCACACGAAAACTGATCTTTTTAAAAACTCCGGCCAAAGTGAAGATCTGCGTTTTCTCCGTTTTGGGTGTCTGCGTGTGGACGGACAAAACCGGAGTTTTAAGGTCCGCAACGTCACTTTCCGCGACAAAAAAATGCTGACATCACGTGTGCGACCTGTGTTTACACTAGCCGACAGCATGGAAGCCCTCAGAGCTGCGCTCGCTTTATCAATTGTCCAAGCGCTTTCTGCTTGTTTGTTTTTGCAAGTGGAATTACTGCTCCTTGCGGAAGACCACAGACGAAGGACGAGGTTAAGAACGGGGGAAGTACTGCCGCCTACAGGTCTGGCATGTCCTTAACAACGTATTTATCCAGGTACGTGTGGACAGAGTTGTTTTTTTAAATGAGGTGGTGTGGATGCAAAAAACCCGGCTACGTGTGGACTAGGCCTAAAACATCGGGGATCTCATGATAAATCCCTCCCGGTTTCGCCAGCTCCATGAACGATTCTCAGTTGGATTCAATCCCCTCTAATCCAAGCAAGGACCGGCAATCAAGGCTCACTCGCATCCATAGGCAGCCCCTGTTAATCGATGCTAGATAATGAGAACGGGAGTAAAGGACAGAACCTCGTTCTTCATCCAGACGGAGCAATAATTATTCATCCCTGCGTACGGGGACTACAAAGATGTTAGAACTAAAACCGAGACCATGAGCTGTTTGATTAAAGCTGTGCAGCTGGTGCTTTACAGTTAGGATGCACAGTTTACATGTTTCCGTGGCAACGCTGGAAGTCTGCTTCAGCTCTTGTTTGTCAACATACTTTGTGAAAGCTTTCATCATTTATGTGTCATGTTCATGTTCTGCTCCAGAGTCCGGATGTTTGGAGACCCCAGAACTTTGTTTTTGCTGAGCAGCTTTGAGTTTTATAAGAACATGGTGGTCATGTGACCCTAAAGTTACATTTAGCACGTGTATTACACACCAAGGACAAAACACCACATATGCCATTTAAATCAAATATTATAGTGTTTGACACGTGTGACCAGAGTAAATATATAGTCACATCAATAGTTTTTCCTTTTACAAGGTGAAAAACAAAGTTGGATTGAAAGCATTATAGTATTTTTTACTGCCATCTGTGTACTTGACATTATGTATAGGAGCCTCTGGGCTGTAGTTTTACACATTTTCTTTGTATACATACTGTAAAGACCCCCGCCCCCCCCCCCCCGCCCCCCCCCAGTCCTCATGCAGGGCAGTGAGCTTTGGGTAGTGACCGAAAGAACGAGATCATGGATAGAAGTGACTGAAATGAGTTTTCTCCACAGGGTGGCTGGGCTCTTCCTTAGAGATAGGATGAGAAGTTTGGTCATCCGGGAGGGGCTCGGAGTAGACCCGCTGTTCCTCCACGCCAAGAGGAGCCAGTTGAGCTGGTCAGGATGCCTGGTGAGGTTTTCTGGGCACGTCCATCCAGAATCAGTTGTAAAAATGTGATCTCAATATTTAAATCTGAACATATTGAGTTGAATTTAAAGTGAAACCTAAAACTTTAGAATCAAATATGAGTTTGCCCCGTGGGGCAGCTGTGGCTACAGTGTAGCTCATCAGTAAGTGATAGTGTAAAGCACTTTGGAGTCCTCTGAATCAAAAAGGTGCTATTCCAAGTGCAGGCCATTTGTCATTTATGCAGTAAAATCTACATTTATTGAATTAGATTAAGATGTAAATGTTAAAAATTAATTTTAAGAAGTTTAATACTCAGATTTGAATCTAATGGTTGCATTCAAATATGTAGAATCAAAACTGAATATTTAGTTGATTCCAAAAAGTTAAACATTAATTGATTTGAATCTAAATACATGAAATTGAACATTAATATAGTAAATCTCAATAGTTATACTGTAAATTATGTCATATTTCACAAAAATATCACATTTTCTTCACGGCATATACATCATAACATTATTTAGATTTATATTTTGATTAAATTTGTTGAAGGAGACAAAGTCATTGTGTTTAACAGACCCAACGTGCAGATTATTGAATAACTGTCTAGTAAGATTAAAGGAAGTCCATGCCTCATGTTTAATTCAGTAAAATAAATCATATAAGTTTTACTTTGGAATCGGCGCTCCATACAGGTTTTTGAGAAATTTGGGGAAAACAATCTAATCTGTTTTTTCTGTGAAATCAGACGTTTTTCTGTAATGTCCACACAGAGAAGACTAATGAGGAGGTGTGAGAGGATCCGGGGCAATTATGAAATTAATTAAAGCGGAGAGAAGCAGGAGGAGGTGCTAGCGCCATCTAGCGGCGAACGTCTTCGATCAACTTGTAGGATCAATGAAACAAGTGAGGGCGGGGAGGGGGGGGGTCAGGTGGGGAGGAAGATCATTTTCATCACCATCACCTCAGATGGCAACAGTAAAGGAAGTGTCGTTCACTTAAGAAATAAATGTTTAAATATATATATTTCACTTAAATCACCTCCGGTTAAACTATTTGCTCAGAACCGGAGAGAGAAAGACAGAGAGACTAACTCACTCCCATTTCCGGGCTGGTCTCCGGTGGGACTCGGTTCTGCTGCACCTTAGCGCGTTTCAATAGAAGATCCGGACTCCGTCACGGCGGCGCTGAGGGCGCAGGAGACGCGTCCGCGGTGCCTGCTGGGGGATTCGTGGAACCTGACTTTAGCGCGTGTGGAGGCACGAGGGGATCCGGTCGGTGCGGATCGGACCAGAACCGGACCGGAGGAGGCTCCATCAGGCAGGGAAACTTTAACTGGATCTTGTGGGTGTTGTGGGATCGGAGCAGCTTCCCCCCACTGACAGAGAGACCACTTGTACCGCCGCCACAACTGTGCCAAGAGACAGTGAAAGGCACCGGAGCGGACCCGCGCAGCATATAAATCAGCCGCTCTCCGGTTTGGCAAGGGCGAGAGAGAAGCAGCACCGTGAAGAACCGAGCAGGGACATGAGACGTCTTCCGTTCGGGGGACGGAGGACAGCAGCAGCGAGCAGGGAGCGGATGTAAAACCCTCGTCTCCTCGTGTTGCCACGGGCGCGCAGGAGGCGCAGGACACGCATCGATCCGCGCTTTGCGTTTTTTTGCGCTGCGTATGTGTCGGGAGCGGAGCTGTACTGGTGAGCGGTGGGATTAAGAGGCGCTTCCACCTGAACCGAACCCTGGAAGTGTGAACCATGAAGACCGGGCTCCTGGTTCTGCTCGTTTGCTCTGCGGCATTTTTCGCAGGGCGCCGCTGCGCCGCGACGGGGATGGACCCGCCGAGCGCCGGCTTCAGCAACGGCACCAGCGGGGACGGAGGCTCCAAGAGGGACTCGAACCAGACCATGCTGTCCAGGAACAAGAGGAAGACTCTGGCCGTGGACTTCGCGGTACCCTCGCTGCTGAGATACTATCTGGCGGAGTTCATCAAGAGACCTCTGAACGGGGACTGCCAGATTTTCCGCGGCTGCTACGCGCTGCGGGCGAACTTAAAGATGCTCTGCGTTCCTTTACAGAAAACCATTTCTACTTTTGTGGACCCGAGAGCCGCAAAAGACCCGGAGAACCGGTCTGCTGAAGGACAGCTCCCGTTCATCTACCAACGGCCGCTGTCCAAAGTTCTGAACCTGGGTCTGACCAAAGCGAGCAGGAAATCCAACCAAGTGGTGGTGGAGATAGGAGAGGATATAGTCAGGACGGGCTGCGGCGGGCTGACCGTGCACGAGGAGGACCCCGTGCTCGTGCTGGAGATGGACCTCACGACCATCCTGGAGTGGTGGCTCGGAGCGGAGGGGGGCCGGCTCAGGGTCCGGCTCATGCCCGAGAAAAAGGCGCAGGTGCCCGGGATGGAGGACCGCTACACCGCGGCCATCCGAGCTGCAGACCCCCGCCTGAGCCTCGAGATATCCTCCCGGGGTGAGTCCCTGACCCCCCCCCCCCCCCCCACACACACACACACACACACACACACACACACACCACGCAGCTCAAGGTTGTGATTTAAGTTCTGCTGTGATCAATTTTTCATGTCTGGTCCAGTGCGCCAAAAGCGTGCGCGCTGCGACGCACAACGAGCAGCAGGAGGCGGATCCGGGGTTTTTTATGATGTTCTGATGGAAAACGATACAAACTGACGCGTGCGCGTGTGAGTCAGAGGATCGCAGCACCGAGGGAGTTGGGGTTGCTTCTTTGATCCGGGTGACTTGGCAGGCTCCTGTTTCATTACTGATGCGTAAAGCAGCTCCGAGAAACGACACGAATGTTGATTCAAGTCCCAAACTTCAGTTATTTACATTGTGCTCCCCAGCTGAGCTCCTGCAGCAGCTTAGAGGTGGAAAGCTGCTCCTCTGGAGTAGAATCGAGGCCTCGCTCTTTGATAATGCAGCACAAACAAAGTCCATTTCATTAACAAACAAAGAAAAACTGGAAATCTTCACCTTCACTGCTCTTGTTCTTGGGGAGATTTTAGGAAACTGGCTTCCTTTTTGACTGGGCTCAAATTAAGTTGTTATCTCCAGGAAGGCTGCAGCTCTCTTTCTCGAGGGGGCTCTTCCCTTGTTGTTCTGAGCATCGGCACAATCAGTGTAATTGCTTAATCACTTTGATGAGGGAGGCTGGCCCAGAAAAACTGCTAGGATCTGTCAGACAAAGGCGAAGCTGAGCTGGAAGCTGATGGAGCCATGGAAGCAGGTGCTCAAGCAGTGTGCGCTGCCTGCATATGTTCAGCTGCACCATTCACCTGTTTCTGCGAAAAATGTACCTGGTTTGCATCTTCTTGAGCAGCCTCAGTTTGAGGAAATAGCTTTTGACATTCTCCAGGGCCGATCGAACCATGTTGCATTCATCTGGACCAAAACGCAAGCTCAGAAAATTCACATATAAGGCATGGATGTCATTATTTTATGGTTTTTCTTTTTACTGGGATGAGGTAGAACTTAATATATATGAACTTAATATAAATGGGTTAAAGTATTGTGTTTTTGTTTAACTTTGCGATACCCGTTTGCATCAGCAGGTGGCAGAATTGAGACGTTCAATGGTGATTAAAACTTTAAAATATACTTTTAGACTACAAAACTACCTTTAAAAATGCAGAAAATCAAACCTGTTGAGGATGTATCTGATATGTTTTGGATGCGGCACCTTAGAAACCAAATCATTGCATCAGTCGCATGAAGAAAGCTGAAATTACTGCTAGGAAATGCAGAGAAGAGCTGCTACGGGAGCCTGGTTTTCCAAACAGGAAGTTGGTATGCATACAAAAATGTACTTTATTCTTGTAAATGGAACTTCATGGAAGCACATCTCTGAATGTTTCTCCCCACAGCAGGTGGAAATCCTAACCAAAATCATTTTCTGACACGTGCCCGTGTGTTTTGCCCTCGATCGCATCAGGAAACCACCAAACCGTGGTTGTTCAGGAAAACTAGCAATTACCTTTTACACACACACACACACACACACACACACACACACACACACACACACACACACACACACACACACACACACACACACAGGATCTGAGGACCACCTCTGGAGTTCTCAGCAAGGAGTCCAGGAGCACAGCTGGGGGTGATAACAGCTGCGAGGCCGACATGGAATGATGTACAGGTAAATGAAAGGAACGCCTACGTGTCTTCAGTAGCGTGTTGCATCTCCACGTGTTGCCACAACAGCATCGGTTCTGGAAACCCACTGAAGGCGAGGAATGTTGTTATTTTAAAAATCTGCTGGTGTTGTGACGGGAGTGGGGATCTCTGCTTTTGGCTGATTCCGTTCTTTGAGTCTGAACAGAATCTAGATTCTCAATCGGGTCAATTTCCATTCAGTCCTGAACATCTGCAGCTAAATTCAGACGTGACAGGTTCTTTTTGTTCTGTCAAATCTGAAACAAACCAGAATCTGTTTCATTTACTTTTAAACTGCAGGTAAGAAATCAAGGTGCCAGGAAACACACGTGTTCAATTACCAGTTCAAATTGAGGCAATAAGATTAAATAATTATCCTGTTTTGTCGTCTTCAACAGAATCTTTGGCAGATTAATGGAATTCCAAGCGATGCATCTGTTTGACATCTGCAGCCACGTTTAGATGCTGCTCTAACATTTGTGGGCGGTTCAGATGTTGCCAAAAGGACAAAATGCTCATCCGCGTGGAGAGTTTGATCCTCAAATAACTCCCGTCTGAATAAAAAGGACTCTTGATGAGATTGAGGTGATGACGAGAACAAATATCCAATCCAATCCAATCCAATTTTATTGATAAAGCGCATTCACAAGGCATTACAACCAAACAAGGCGCTGTACACTAAAAATGTTGGTTAATTAAACAGGCGTTATACAAACATGTCGAACACAGATAAAAGATAAAAAGGAAATACAACAATATTCCCAAAACTAACAGCTAAAAATCAATAAGACACAGGGTGAATAAAAAATTAGAAAAACATTTTAAAAAGAACCTCAATATTATGGAAGTTGATATTGTGGAGTCCATTTTTAAACAGTGCAGATGTAAGTGAGGTTCATAATTATGTGGTATAAGCTAGGTTGAAGTAGTGAGTTTTCAGGCGTGATTTAAAAATGCTAGCTGTTGGTGCTAGCCTCACTAGCAGTGGTAATGCGTTCCACAGCTTGGGTGCACAGACAGAGAAAGCCCTTTCTCCACGGCTTTTTAAACGTGCATTGGGAACAGCTAGGAGGAGCTTATCTTCAGACCTGAGAGCACGCGGCGGGTTGTAGTAATGGACAAGTTCACACAGATATGGAGGAGCTTGATGGTTCAAGGATTTGTAAGTGAGAAGCATAATTTTGAAGTTTATCCTGAACTGCACGGGCAACCAGTGGAGAGATTTCAGAATTGGAGAAATGTGTTGTCGTCTGTCAGCTCCAGTCAGCAACCTAGCTGCTGAGTTCTGGACCAGCTGAAGTCTAGAAAGAGCTGCTTTACTGATGCCGTATAAGCAGGAGTTAGAGTACTCCAGCCTTGAGGTGATGAAAGTGTGGACCACCGATTTCAGAAGACCGACAGTCAGGATGTGCTTTAGTTTCGAGATGCGTCTTAGTTGGTAAAAACATGATTTAACTGTGTTATTGACCTGGGCATCCATCTTCAGAGCCTGGTCCATTTTTACTCCAAGGTTGGAGATTACAGAGGATACATTAGGTGAGAGATAGTTGAGGTCAGGTTGATGAGTTGCCGTGGTACTGTTAGGACTGAAAACGATTGTCAGTTTTGGAGTCATTAAGATGGAGGAAGTTATCAGCTAGCCATTGCTTGACCTCAAGGATAAAATATAAAATATACCAACTTCAGTCACGTAATCTGGTCCAGTCTGTAGAAAAAAAACTCTTTCAGGATCAAGTTTTGTATTTCACTGGTAACGTGTGACTTTTTGTTATTGAGGAGCTCCGGTGAGTTCTCGTCAATAATCCCATCGTTCCAGATCCGATGGAGCTTTGTCTCGTTTAGAAGCTTTTCCGGGATTTTTCACACACAAACAAATGGCAGACGCACATCTTGTGGGTTATTTATAGTAAAGTTTTAATACCAAACATTAGATTTGTTAAATTATGGTCTGTATGTTTGACCTCCTTAAAGAAGCAGTGTTTTAACGTATTGTTTCCATGGAAACGTGTAATATTTCTGAACTGCCATTGGTCACTCTGAGTTGCACATGCATGCTGAACGTTAAAAATGCTAATCGCGTCACCTGCGTTAGCCACAGAGCTGAAACAGATGGTCAGAAAAGGCCAGTCTCCACTTCATCACGTGGAAAATTTGTATCAATGGCCCCGCCCACCTTTGCTTGTGTCCACCCACAAGAAGTAAAGAGCCTAGCGAGTCTTGGCTAGTAAAAGCTAACAAAAGCAACTCCTCAAAACGGCAGGCGCACGCTCAGGTTTGTGTTATTAGGGAAGAAAAAACATGGTTCGTCTTTTCAGTCCAGGGTGGAAGAGCGAACGAAGGCATCGGAAGAGTTGCTTTTAGCCAATCAGAGGTGACATGTCTACATATCATGAATATTAATTAGACTGATAATCCCCTTGTTATCCTCCCCTGCACCTGAAACAGGAGCGCCAGAGCTTTTTTTCCACAGACGGCAGCGGATTAATCTAAAAAAACGAGCAAAGTTTGTTCCGATACGAAGACGCGGGCCTTGAACACCTGATGAAAGCAGCAGCAAACGCCCCACCAGATGTGATCTCGCTCACTTTGACACGTTCATGAACTCTTTGTTGGGATGGAAAATGAGATTTAGGAGCATTTTCACTCTTTGGAGCAGACTAAATGTGCGAGGAAGATGGGTCTTCCTGTCCAACTACTTCTGCTGTAACATTTATCATTTCAAATAAAAAAAAACAAATTCCCTCCACTCAGGAATGCTCCGCCCACCCAGCTGAACTGAACACCTGCACGCTTTAGCGTTCGTAAAATCATGTGGAAACAGAAGTAGCACCCTGGCTGATTTTCCTGCGTCGGCGCCAAACTTAAGAGGTAAAAATAGTTTCCAGGTGAAATGTTCTTCTGCATGGATGCAGTCGGCTGTGTCACGTCCCGGCAGGCCTCCTAACCTGCACGTTTAGCAGGCGGGAAGACTGCAGCAGGTTACGCCGACAGCGGTGAGCCCACCTGGAAACGGCTCTGAGGGTGAGGGCGCTAAACGAGTGAAAGACCATAAATATCAACCGATCCGCTTCTGTAACACCGAGCGGACGAAGCCGGTGGACGGATGAAGTCTTAAATCACCAGGAAACCGTTCGTCTGGATGAGGCCTGGAGACTCGTGTCTCCAAACACGGATGTGTGAAGAGATCTTCGGCCTCGTTTTTAATGTTGTCAGAAACAAAAGTGAAAGTGATGTTTTGCCATCAGGGTGATTAACGGCGTCTCTTCCAGAGGTGCAGGCAGGAGG